TAAGAGGGGCGGGGGCGGGGTCCCGGGGCCGAGGCGACAGCGCTTTAATTAAAACGGAAATTGCGGCCCCTGCCCGCGCCGGGGGCCGCAGGGTTCCAAGCTGCCTGGTAGCTGGGAGCGTGGCTCCAGGACCCCCTCCATCCCCGCTTCACCCGGCCAGCCCCCTCCCTCCAGGACCTGCCGGACCTGGCGCTGTCTTCATCTCCCAAGTACCCGCGGTCGCATCGGGCGGGGATCAGTACCCCAGAGCGCAAAGCCTGACGCGTCCCCCCTCTTTCACCCCCTCCCCCCAACCTCCCACCACCCAGCCTTGGGCGGCGATGAGACAGAGCGGCGCCTCCCAGCCCCTGCTGATCAACATGTACCTGCCAGGTACCAGGGACCAGCTGGGGGCTGGAGGCACCGGGACCCAGGGCTGGAAGTCTAACCTGGGGCGTGGGAAAGAGATTGTTGGGGTCCAAGGGAAGGGGTGCAGTCCAGAGATTCGGATCGTTGAAGGACTGAGCCATCTAGGGCATTGGAGGGCGGCAAAGACAGATGGAGAGCTGTGGGGCTTTCATGTGAGGTCTAGAAGGCTCGAAGTGAGCAGATTGGGAGACTGGGAGGCCGAGGGCGCCAGCTCAGGGACTGAAAGAGCCTGAGGGGGAACAGCGGTCTTCGATGTGGTGGGGACTCGGTGCGCGTGCAGCGCTGGGAGGTTGTAGTCGGCCGGGCGCCGCCCCTGCACCCTCGTGGCTCCTCACCTCCGTCCGTGCTCCGAGTGTTCCCACCGGCCCAGCCTTCCAGGCGCCCTCCTCTTCTCTCCGATGGGCTCCCCGCGCTCCGGCTCGACAGACGCAGCCCCGGCTCGGCTTTATAAGGCTCCCGCCGGCCCGTTCGGAAAGCGGATTTCCTTTTTCCTGGACGCGTTTCCTGACTTGGGCGTTATGGAGGGGCTCAGCGCGGCGCGCGCCCGCCCGGGCCAGGCTCCGGGAGGAGGAGCCGGGCAGCTCGGGCCCCCAGCCTCACGCCCCTTCTGGAGCCTTGGCCCCTGGGCCCTTTGGGTCAAGCCCGCAACCTCCGCCTAGGTCCCTCTGACTGTTTTCTTCTGCTGCCACAGATCCGGTCGGAGAAGGTCTCTTCAAGGAGGGGAAGAGCCCGGGGTGGGGGCCGCTGAGCCCTGCGGTACAAAAAGGTGAGCTGGCTGGTGGACTGGGTAGGCGGGGGCGAAGACAGAGGACGGGAGCCAGGACATCCACCCAAGGACAGGCGGCACCGCTACCAGAACAGAGGGTGGAAGGGATGTGCACTGCAGGGCTTTAGGAATCGGAGGGTCCGGGCATAATTGTGGGAAGGATAGCGGGGAGGGGGGCGGGGACGCATTCACTTGGCCTGAGCTCCTGCCTCTTCCAAGTCTCAGGGCTGAGGGAGAGGATCATGGCCCCCACTCACTCTTTTGGGGACAGGGCTGAGGCACTTGGCATCCTTTCCTTGCTAGCAACAGGAGCACAAGGCCCTGGCACCACTGGGCAAAGAGACCAGAAGATTTACTCCCTGACCACGAGCACCACTGGCACCTACCTGACTCACTGACCCGCAGTGGCCAGGCTTTTCCCGCCAAGTCCCCTGGATCATTGCTGTGGATTCTTATGTTCAAGGCCAGCTCCCCATGGGTGGCTGCATTACCTTCTGCTTTGCCTCGCTGGTGGGGCTTGACTGGCTTTGCAGGCAAAGCCTCCCTACAGCTCCCCATCCAGTCGGCACCCTAAATTTCATGGTTGCAGTTAATCATAAAAACAAGGCCGGCAACAGTTTTATTCAAAAGGGAACAGGACTTCCATCAGGAATGTGTTTCCAGGCCTCCGGTGGCGCTCTGCATCTGTACCAGCTGCACATTTTTACCCAAACCCTCCTTTGCTTCTGACCTAAAACCCAACGCTCCCTACCTGGAGCCAGGCAGCTCCTCTCTGGGCTCTTGTGGAGGGATTGGGGTTGAAATTATGGGGGGCAGCATCTGAGTTCTGAGCAAGTCGTTGAAAAAGAAAGAGAGGTTCCCCAGGCTCGATTGGATGAAATCAGACTTTGAGGAAAATCCATTTTATTCTAAAAGGGTGTGGGGGGTGGGTGTATATCAAGATTTGTCTCTGCTTGGCTGATTGAGGCTCCAATACAGGGGAGTGGGAGTTCTGGGGCATTTGACTCTCCTCACACTAATATCTGGGGAAACCTCCTTGTCACTTCCAACAACCCCAGAACAGGGAGAGGGCAGGAGAGCCTGGAGGTGAACCAAAGATGGGAGAAGGCAGGGAGCTAAGTATGTCGGTTTCCCAGTCTCAGCCCCTCTCCTCAGAGCTGTGCATCTCCCGGGGAAGTATGGCAACTTTGCAGGCCAGGAATCCCGCCTGTTCCGAAAAAGAGGCCCAACCTATTCAGCACCAGACCCTGGGAGGAGTGTGTGTGTGGATGTGGAGTGGGTGTGGAGGTGGGCAGAGGAGTGGAGGGGTATAGGAGGGTAGAGAGCCTTCAGAAGCTGCCCTTCCTCTCATGCCTGGGGGCCCCTGTCCCCATTCCTGTCTGAGTAGTGCGGCAAAGAAACCAGCCACCACCTCTTCCCCAGCTCAGGCGGCCAGCGGACTGACTGTATGCCTTTAGGGGCTGGGCGTTGTCCAGGGGCCAGGGTGGTCCTGTTGCACGGTGGTCTCCTCTCTCTGGCTCTCGGAATGTGGTCCAGCTGGGATGTGGCAGTTTAAACACCTGGGCAGGCTACCCCCGCGGTTGTGCAGGCTCTGCTCCAATTAGGACTCGGGCCCAAGTGGCCGCGCAGGGGCTGATATCCTGTCCTTGCTCACCTTAGGGAGCCCAGGTTCTTGCTGCCATGCTGCCTCCTTGCAGAGGAGGTGATGCTTCGCCCTTGCTCCCAGTTCTCATAAAGCCAGGCGCTGGCAGGCCTTGGTTCGCCTAAGTGGAGGCTGTGTTTCTATTGTGGAAAAGCGTGGTCACGACTAGGAGAGCTTTGCTGATCAGCCCCTCCCTGGCCCGCCCCTCCAGCTGGGTCGGTCTCTCCCGTCTCCTCTCATCCCTTTCCCCACCTCCAGCCTCCCATCCCGCCCGTGGCTGACGACCTCCTCCCCACAGGTAGTGGGCAGATCCAGCTGTGGCAGTTTTTGCTGGAGCTGCTGGCGGACCGTGCCAACGCAGGCTGCATCGCGTGGGAGGGTGGCCACGGCGAGTTCAAGCTCACGGACCCCGACGAGGTGGCGCGGCGCTGGGGCGAGCGCAAGAGCAAGCCCAACATGAACTACGACAAGCTGAGCCGCGCGCTGCGCTACTACTACGACAAGAACATCATGACCAAGGTGCATGGGAAGCGCTACGCCTACAAGTTCGACTTCCACGGCATCGCCCAGGCCCTCCAGCCCCACCCCCCGGAGTCCTCTCTCTACAAGTACCCCTCGGACCTCCCGTACATGGGCTCCTACCACGCCCACCCACAGAAGATGAACTTTGTGGCGCCCCACCCCCCAGCCCTCCCCGTGACCTCGTCCAGTTTCTTTGCGGCCCCGAACCCGTACTGGAATTCCCCGACTGGAGGCGAGGCCTCTCCCAGACGCCCCGGCCCGCGCTCAGTCCCATCTGCGTCCTGGGGAGGAGTCCCCACGCCTTCCCACCGTTCCTTTGACTTCAGATTTGACTCCATTCGCCGCACCCAGCCCCGGGGGAAAGGATCTGAAACCGTCTCAATCTTCCTTTAACGGCTGATTCCCCTCACCCCACCTCCCAACCCCTGGGGGAGGGTGACTGTGTCCCCCCACTTCCTCTAACTTCCATCTTCTTCTAGACCTCAGATCCCTGACGGGAGGTTTTCGGCTTTCCCTGTTGTTTCCTCTCATCCACCTGTGCTTAGGCCTGGCTCCGGCAAGCCCCCTCCATTAAGACCCCTCTCTTTTGAATTCCAAATCTTTTCTCATGTTTTCTCTTCCCCATGGAGCTGCCCCGACCCCAGTAGGGTGGAGGCCTCTCACAGTCCACCTTCTCCTCCTGGGCACTTCAGCAGGCTTGGTCAGGAGCACTGCCCTCATGACTTACCTACGTGCTTTGGGGCCCCTTCCGCCCACCTCTATTCTCTCGGCTGGACAGGCCTGGTGTGTTTCTGTTCCCTTCTAGACCCATTAAAGCTCCCAAGTTCTCTGCTGCCTCCTCTCTCAATTCCTTGCTTCACCAGAACCTTGTTTCAGGGAGGAAAGAAGTGAGATGCCCAGCGTAGGCCTGAGCAGAAAGGCCTGCCAAAGAAGAGCTGGAGAGAGTGAGGGCAAAGAGGCTGGGGTGCTTTCTACTGGAGGGGAGGGAGGAGCCCATGGTGATGGGCCCAGCCAAGAGGGAGGTGCCATGTTTCAGATACACCCCCCCACACACACACACACTCAACTTTGCAGCCAACCTCAATCTGCTTCATCCTGCCTTGCACCCACACCTTCACCCTACTTTATGCCAATCTCATCCCAACACACATGGTCACCTCACCGTTTCCCATTTCACCCATCCTTCACCTGCCCCTCATCTCATCCTAACCTCCATCCTACTTCGTCTCATCTCCACACAACACAAACTCAACCTTTCCTCAGTCTCCCATTTCATCCACTTCTAACCCTCACTCAGACTTTCTCTCACCCTCACTCACAAGCCGCCGCCCTGCCCAGACATCTCTATCGTTCTCTCTGGATCTGCTG